GAGTGATTGAGAGGGTTGTGCTTATGAAGTTGGAATTGATCGTCGTGGGAGGTAAAGAGTAGGTTATGTTTAGTCAAAGTCCGGAATGATGAAATGATGCCTTAAAATATCGAATTGTCTTAGTTGTGTAGCTTTTGATTGTGCAAATATGTGTTGCCAGTATCATCCCGAGGCTTTCCTGAAGTTGGCATGGCAGAAGACCTATTATTAACGTAGGCGTGGCCGCTAAGATGGAAGTACAAACCACGATGATGGAAGGACTTGCTTAGCTAACTGCACGGTTAAACAATTATCAACTCTCAAGCACTTTTACTAATTTCGACTTGTAACGGAGTTAAATAAATTCATGATGTAGGCCGTTGTTTCCAAGGGAGAAGCAAACTGAAGTACTCGGTACCGTTGAGCTTGGAGGTAATTCTCTACAATCTCCTTAATGCCTAGTTACAAGGGAATAAGTAAGTATTCTCTTTGAGATAGATCGAATGTAGGTATTTACTCGTTTTTAAGAGTTTACTAGAAGCACTGTACCTGAAAGTGGAATGTAATACAGTACCTTTAATTTTTTCCCAAAGGCATGTCTCTCGGTCTCATTTCTAGGGCTTAAGATGTTCCTACTCGTAAAGCTTTTTATCCTCATAGGTTCTTTTTCCTGCTTAAATTTTGTTGGTGTATTTACATGTCAAAACGTAAATCTTACTACTTTTTCTATTATCATTCATGATCTAGTGATATCATTTATCCATGGTTCCTAATTACCTTAGCAACGAATTTGTTTTCAATTGGAATGGTATCCTTTTGCTTTCACAACAATTGTAAATCTACGGATACTTGTATTCATTTGAAAATCGCAGTCATTAAAGCACCTCACTATAATTCGTAGTCAAAAGAAATGGTGCGTTTCTGCTTGTGACGTTAGGGTGGCTCGTGGGGATCACAAAAAAAACCTGACTGTGTGATCAGACTAAAACCACTGTCGGCTTCTCTACCATTAGGAACCTTGTCGGAGAGCTACGATGAGCTAGGCAATCGCTATCAGCTTCCGGTGTTCGTACTTTCCCAACCCACCAACTTGGAACCCGACCCCAGTGGAGCTGGAAGCTCCGGTGATCAGATTCTCTCTTCCTCTTACTCCTCTGTCGTTCCCGCCGGTGCCACCTTCGCCAACACCCTCGACGCCACAGGTGACGACGAAGACGACGAGGGTGTCACTGTAGTCAGCCTCCTCTCACCCCATGCCCCCGTAACTTCCACCACCACTGTTGTCAGCGCTGTCGCCCCTTCCTCCGCCCCTACCGAGGCAATCTCCGCCTCCCCTTCCCCTTCCTCGCGTGGTGCATCCCATCCCTTCCGCCGTCTTTTTCACCCCCGTCGACGAAGGGCGCACTCATTAAGCAAAAAAATGCGTCGGAAGTACGGTGGTCGACGCTCATCTCACTCTACTCTCTTCCCCTCCCCTTTTACCGCCTCCTCATCCTCCACTTCCGCAGCCCCACGTCCTTTCGATCTCCGAATGCGCCTCTCCACGGGAGATGAGTATTCCCTACCTGTAACGAGCAACCAATCGGTGCTCGAGGCAAAACGGCGTCTTGCTACACTAATTGGTTGGCCGCCCGATCGCCAGCGATGGTATTGCGGTGGGGTGGCACTGCGCGATGCGCTCCGCATTGCCGATTGCCCTCCAAGCATTGCTCCGCCATTAAGTTTCGTGGTGCAGGTGGTGGTACATTCGCCCTTAGAGCCGGAGTCTACGTGGGCTCACCAGAATCGGTTAAAGGAATAGGGGTGTGAGGCACGTCACACCATTTCTCTCTGCGTGTGTGTGTGGAAACGCTTGTGTTGCATTTAGAGCGCCCTAGGAGGTGAACGTGTTGTTGGTTACTTTTATCATCAAATCCATTAATATTGCGATTTTCTTTCTGTCTCCCCTATTCTATTACCACTATGCCAATTTATGTTGCTTTTCCTCTGTTGTGTTCCACTTTAATAGGGTGAGGGTGGTCTTCAATGCTTGTTCATGGAGTCTGGATTGACTTGTTTAAGAAAGCGTAGCTATGAAGAATTTCAATGAAGTGTTGCTCGTATAGTCAATAACAGGTGCTGGGATTTTGTACAAGTAACTAGAGAAAAGTGATTAGTTGCCGAATAGCGTCTGAGGTCCCGTGCACAATTCGAACAGTTGAGCGTTGTACTAGGCAGGTTATGAGGATGAGGAGTATTTGCTACGGTGAGGCTAAGTCGGGTTTCAGTGACCCTTCAAATTTGTGCAGCATCAGAGAGTGGGTGTCGACGGGTCTGCCTCATAAGGCATCATCTACCTGGTTAAGCCTAGACTGACGGGGCGGTGATAGGCTCATCATTTTTTAAAAAAAAAAAATGCTAATGAACTCTTCTAGCATTAACGGATGTGGATTTTGCGCCAAATGATGTGTCGAGCCTTTAGAACTGGGGCCTTAATCTAGTTAAGTTTCGGGTGACATTTCATTACGTGACAACCACGGCGCTTTAATTATTCACTTATCTACCGTCGACCGTGAAGGCTCCGAAGGTCGCCTGGCAGCATGTCCAGAAGGTCATGTCTATGGGTTTTCAACCCACTTATACTTTAACAATAAATCTACACCAATACACCTTATTACGACCTCTCAGGGAGGCGAAGCACACTAATGATCTGTCCATCTATCTACCTGCCATCCATTTTTCCATCCACAATACCCTTGTGCCAGATGCTGCAAAAAAAACCTCAATCCGTCCTGTAGGCTAGTTCATAATCCATGCATCTATATCCACACATGCACCACCTACAAAATGATAATTTTCAGCACTTATGTACGGATCAAATGGTTCGCATTAGTAGGAAGGTCAACAAATCTAAAGTATTTACAATTGTAAAACGTAGATTATTATCTCCTGTATAGCAGTCCTATGCAAAGGCGTCTTTCCGGAGAGATGCTTTAGCTCCCGTAAAGTTTGTTTATTGCTTATGTTTACTCATAAAATAATTTAAATAAGTCATTGCTAAGAGAACGCATTCAAAATGGGTTCCACATTTCCAAACGTAGATCGAAGTCCAGATAACTGTTTATTAACCATGTTTATGTTGCTACAGTCATGCTGGAATTGGTATTTTGTTTGGCGGTGTGCCTAACTGCAGGGGCACTTCAGTCTGATTTCTGTACACCCTGTGCAGCGCTCCAACTCCTCTATTATTGATGCATGTTTGGAGAAGTTCTGGAAGTCAAAAGACTGTGCAAATGTAACAAAACGGTTGGTTAGCTTCAATTATTGGATTCTGTACAAGGTTGGGTTCAAAAAAGTAGTGGGGTTCTATTTTATGCATTCGTCGTTATAATTGGGGGTCCCGGTTTTGGAGATATGGGCGCAAAAGTGCCAAATTAATGCGTCAAGAATTTAAATTTGCTTCATTTAATAGCATACTTCATGCTAAATACTTTAATGCAAACAGTGTATTCTTACACGCTACTATTCGACGATGATGCGCATGATTATTCACAGGGTCTTTGCGCTTTATGAATGTGCTCAAAATTCCAGTTTGGGACTGTTGCGTGCTTCACCATGATTAGTTCCTGACCTCATAAATCTCTAATAAAATGGCTTCCTCAATTCGGGGTATTGTGTATCCTGTCTCACTCCTCAGACTTTTACCCAGAGCCATGAAGTCGCGTACTACTTGGCTATTTCTACTTGCCATATTTTGTGTTCTTTTTCTTTTCCAACTTGTTTTACTCTGGACAACTAAAGTAAATCTTCTTACATAATTAATAGTAGTATAGCGCAGTTTGTTTGAAGATGAAATTGGGGTTGCGCAAGCCTCCTTGGATGCAAAATTATTTCAGAGTCTCGATAGCAAGGTCGTTCTAAGTCTTAAGTCAGAGTTCAATATCTCCAACGTTTCCTCAAATACCTTCATAGTATCAAAATACTTTTGCGGCCTTCCAGTTCCCAGGGATGCTGAAGGTGCTTATTTCGAGGGTTTGCGATGCAATATGCTTGGTCGGATTTAATTGTCTTTTAATGCCCTTTCAGGAGAGAGAGAAAGGTCGGATCTCATTGGAGCCATTGTCCTCTTAAAAGGTGTTTCTTCTCTTACTGTTCCGATTTACAATCGCTCCGTACTTTCCGGTGGAAATACCTCCGTTTCTCCAGTTGATTATGACGTCTACGCATCGGTGTTTTGTGCAAAGAAGTTAATTTCGAATCTGTCCAATCCCAAGATATCGCGGTTCATGAGATTTTTGGAGGTGCGATAAGTTAGCTTTTTATTTATACTCTTCAAATTGGGCTTTTATGGCTTTGTTGTGAAGATTTTAACGCGCGCATTAGATCCAAAATAAGTCATCATTTTTCGAATTTCGAATGTTTGTAGCTTTGTACTAAATATGCTTAAACTTTAGGAATTGCTTCAAGGTGTTGGACTAGTGCTTCGTTTTTTAATCGATCCCATGTTATTCTAGAGCTGGTCTTTGGAAATCTATTTTCGTTATGTTCATTCTATTCTTCAAGAGTCTTCACTGTCATTCGTTACCTTAACGAGTTTGAATAGCTTTCATTTTTTATTATGGAGGAATACTTAAGACCTTGTTTAATCTAAACTCAAGTATTTTTCTACATCCAACGTCCTTAATGCTCCGCACATCAACACTACTTAAAAGTCGAAGGCATCTAATTTACGGTGTAATAGTACTGTAAAATACACTTTTCCAATTCCACTTTTTGTTAATTAGCTTGATTCTAATCTACTCTTCTTTCTCCGTTATGGCATGCCTTTTTTTATTCATCGACTTATGAATAAGTTTCCGTAGCTTATCGTCAAGTCAACACGCTACGCTGGTTTAGCGATATTTACCAGCCAGATTGTACCACTTTCTTACCTCACTCTTTTAGTTTGCCTGACCTAACTTCTCTCGAAAGCGCGAATGTAATCATTTTGATTTTGTTGCTTCCTCAATTTCCCTCATTCTTGTCATGGTATATCGCAAACCACTCCTTTGAATCCGCTTGCTATTGGATTGATTTTGCTTAGATGGCAATTCGGTTTGGTTACAGATTTGATGAACTCGAGTCCCTGATTGAATGCTGTCATTATCGAACTAGGTTTTTGTCAGACTTCCTAATTTTACATCTACAGTGCTGCCTGGTTATTTTTTACACCGCTCTTAGTGACCCAATCTTGGTCAAACAGTTTGGAATCTAGTCTTGTTTTATTTTCACTAACTTTAGAATATATGCATTGCTTTATGGGTATTTAGTAAGTTCACCCTATACTTCCATCTACAACTCACTCATGACGTAGTCGGCATTCACTCTTGGTTTAATTTTTTTTCAAATTTTGAATTAATTTTTCAGGGATGTTTAGCAGCGATAGTCGCATTTCATCTGAACACAGAGGTATAGCCCTTTGTCTGAAGGAAAATAGAACTAGAGATGTTGGCTAATTGATATCATATGAGATTTAGCTTTCCGAATCCCGGTTTTATTACGTCTCACCCGGGTTGCTTAACCGGCGCTGTAATTAACCAGCCGCACTGGAGAATCGCTCTAATTCAAGGTGAGGGTATGAGTCTTGAGTACTTTCTATCTAAATTGAAAGTTTCGTCGTCGTAAAAATACATGGTTCGTCTTTAACGAAAGTATCTGGGATACAGCTTTTAATATATACAATTAGAAGACGAAGCAGAAGCTAGTTGGTGGAGCTTCGAGCCGATATCCCAAGACTGTTCATCCGTACTTTTGAAATCATTATTTGTCTGATTGGTTGAGCGAGGCTTGTCCTGCAAGAGTATCGGCTGATCACCTCAGCTGCTTAATCATAAGTCCTTCTCTATCATTTTCGTTCAGACGATTACAATAGGGTTTCTCCTGTTTTTATCAGTCTGTTGGATTTTGTAATGTTGCGACTACTGCATCTAGGAGATCTTCGGGTCAAAGATTTATCTGTAAACACGGGGAGACCAATATGAATTAATAGGAGTGGTGACTTTAGAACCCATTTGATTTAATTTATCAACACTTTTTTCGTCAGGGTGGCGATTCACTTACGTATTTGAGATTCTGGAAGTCCGGTAAGATGCGATGGGATCGGGAAAAGTGTGTTCCAATGTGTAGGTTTGAAAGGTGTCATAGTGGTCAGTTGGTGTAGTGCTAGTGTAAGGTTTCAAGTCAGATTCATTGAGATTAAATGGCAATGATGGGGTAATTGAACTGACATTGTACTCTAAGAGGATTGTTTAATATCTTCAGCTCCTTAATTACAGCCTCTCGTACCCACAATTTTATCCACTTGTTTGCATTTTTCTACTGCATTCAATTTAGCAGGTTTCATAAAGCTTTCGTTAACGTTTTTTTCAAGTGACCAACCTTCTGTCTCTTCCTTCCAGCGTGTCGTTTCATTGCCCCTCAGTCCAACCGAGAAGACCGCCTTCCACGCGCCTAGCTTTTGCACTGCACGCGCAGTCTCCGGCACTGGTGGCGATCCGACGGGCCACTCGTTGGTGCGAGCTTTTGCGGTGGCCAGTCAAGTGGCCACCGCCTACATGGAATCCATCGCTGTCCCCGGCGGTGGTAATGTGCGCCTCTTCGCCGCCCCTAATACTGCGCAGTCGCGACTGGGGTCTCTTGCCATATACACCGCTTTGTTGACCACCTGGGCGGGCAATGATGAGATTCGATCTCAAAACTACCTCAGGGAAAGTTGTTGTTTTTTGCTTTCCTATCATATCTCTTCTACATCGGCTGGCTAACTGTCTCCGTGTTTGAAGCTAAACATAACCTCAAAATAGGTTTATCTGGGTCATTGCTACCAGTTACCTCATTCAAACTGGTTTCGGGGGAAATTACGTTTACCTCCTCTTAATGTATGATTTTCATCCCATATGCTCCATTCCATGGCAATATTTGGAGTCGTCAACGTTCGGTTTGCTATGTGATTTACAGTCCCTGTCAGTGGTTGCAGCTGCGCTGTCTGTCATCGTTATATTAGCCATCATTCTTTAGTGTTAATAGCCTCAAACTAGTGAAACATTTTCGCACTCTTCGTAGTCGAAGTGACTATTTAGTATATGGCTCGCGTTTTCAAGCATCATCAATTCCTACCTCATTTTCCGTCTTGGTGGTTGTACCTACATTCTTCTTTCGTATAATTTTTCTCATAATATTATGCCTGTTTTCTTCATTCATGTGCATTGTTTTCGCATGGAACCGAGATATTTAACGTGCGACGAGACAAGGTTATTGTGATTTCCCCTTATTTGAGGCTTTTTTTCTCTGGCCACTTCCTGTTCTGTTTCACCTGTCTAATGTCAAGACAACATGGGTTTATTTACCGTTTTATCGGCCATTCAATAGCAGCAGAGGAAGACATTTTCGGTAGACTGCAATGTCACAATTTTGTACTCTCACTGTGTGAAATGTTTTTTCCTCTGTCAAGGGCTGGAAACATTTCATGTCTGATCCGCACAACATCACATCTTACCTGTGTTTGGGGAAGGGGGCGAGTTTTGTTTTGGAATGTCATGACCCTTGTGTCAGATTTCCTTCCCTTTTGGGACTAATCAAAAGTACCGTTTGAGAGGTATGATCATTTCCTATCATCGTCTGCTTTGAAAATACTTTATATTTTGAGTTTTTAAATGCAATATTAATTGTTTTCATATGAAAGGAGTTTTTCTTTATAAAGTAATGCATGGACATCAAAGAATAGGTGTCTATTGTAGATGAATTCTTAGCAAAAGCAAATTGTTCGTTAAGATCTTGGGGGATGCCTAATAGAGGATGGGGTTTCTTAAACTTCCACGACTTGCTTTAATGTGGGAGCTTACTAAACAAGGGAAGGAACAAACGTTCTGGACATTCATTTAAATCCTCAATGTGCTCGGATTTTGTTTCGAAAAACTAATAAAGCTCTTATGAAGTGGAAATTTTTAAAGGCAGGTTATTTTAACAGTCCTTACACTTATTACGACGATTCAAAGGTTAATGGCGTGCTCAGTACAGGCTTGGATTTACCTCTCAAGGGTCACATCAAACGGTGCACCCACGATCTGTGAAATCTTCCGGAACTCACTCTTTATATCTCTTCGAAGTTGGGTAGGTATTTCTTCTTGGTTTGTCAAAGAAGGATTTAGGAAATAAGATAGACTGTTTGCCTGAGCATACTTTATGGTGTTGTACAAGTAATGGTACAACTCGATTATTTGGGACGTCTTTCAGTGAATTTCCCCTTGTCCCTTGTTCTCGAAGCAAGTCAGTTGAACTTCCTGTGAGTTTAGTTTTTTCCTGTAGAAGGAAGTTAGCTTTTTCATTCCCCTTTGGTGCAAATGCATTCAGCCAAGCTACAAACAAAACACAAGGTTTTCTGCAGAAATTCGTTCAGTTCAAAAGTGTTTCAGTGCGCACTTCTTGTAGCCGACGCGCAAATCCTTAAAGCTAGATTTTACTCTCGTGGAAGGCCTAGTTTTGCTTGTGGTTGAAAATTTTCTTTTCATTGTGCATGAGGCATAATAATTTTGCTCCAGCACTTATCACTACGCCCACTATTTTTACAAGGCATTATTGTGAGTTGGATTAAATGGTGGATGTTTTGTCACTTATCATGTTTTATATCAAAAAACGGATTGGATTCGTTTTGGGGGACTCGAAATTCGCAGGTGTTTAAAAGTGATCTTTATCAAGCCAATACAAAGGATTTAATGATATTACGAGGAGTTTTTAAGTCAAACCATACTTTTGAGTTTAGGAAAGGAAAGAAGGAATGAAAGCTGTGTTTATTGGCTACTAAGCCCTCCGTGATATTTATGTACGTATTCCAGCTTTGAAGTAATGCTTTAAAAGCTTCTGTCGCACCATCCTAGGGCACGATGATTCATTTTGCTTTCCACACCCTTCCGCTACTTCAAATCGTATTTTGATTATGGAGGGAAATGATGTACCCGGATTTTGCTGCAGCTGATGCAATTCAGAAAATCCAGATCTTGTCAGAGTCCTTCTTGAACTCCGTACAGCATCCAAATCTCTTCGGGTCAGAAGTGGTTGCCATGCCATTAGCACTTACTAATGTTTCCAAATTGCATATATTTGTGAATGATTGTTTTTCCCCTCCCCTTGGTAACTGTTGTCAACCCTACTTTCCTCGAGATGACTGTTCACAAGAGTTGATGCCGTACCGTGTTGTGGATAACCGCGGCTGGTATCGTCACTAGTAAACTTATGGATGCTTTTGAAATCTTTGTACCATTTGAATGTCTTAGTTAGTTTGAGGGTCCTATCAACTTACTATCCTGTGCTTGAAATCTCGTCTGTTATTGGGGGTACTTAGGGTTTTATGCGGATTACTCGTTTAGACGTTGACGCATGCACGTACTGCCACCGGCGCCTGCCACCGTGATGGGTGGCGTCTGGTCTGGGACACGCTTGCTAGCATCGCACGTGTGTATATAGGGTCAAGAGTTCTGGTTAGATGTAAACTTTTCTTGTGGTTGAAATTTCTGAAGCTGAAAGCGTTAAAATTTAATCATTTCACGAAGAAACTGTTAGATAATGAACTATTGAATCCGCATTTTACATCATTTTATTCCAAAAAGCCTTGAAATGAATTACTGTAGCGATGCTGATTGGAAGTGTCCAATTTGATGATGTACCAAGCTTAATTATCTGGAAGTTTTTTGTTGGTTTTTAGGATATCATGTTGTCTACTACTAATGTCTTTGAAAATGGGAAATCGCTCCGGCGCTATAGTTGGCTGGAGGAATGGAAAAATCCACGATTTTGCGTGTAAGTCGAATTTATGTTACACATGAATGGCTAAATCCCCTTGGTTCTTTTTATTCTTTACCTCCAGTACTCCCATTCTTCATTACTAGCATTTAATACGTTTGTTTGACAATCAGTATTCGGGGTTCATGCTGAATGCCGTGGAACCGTTACGTCGACTTCTACCTCTTTCATGAGACGGCTGAAGTTTGGTTTTGACAAGTTATGAATCTTTCCCCCCTCCGTGAATGTTTGAGTACATGTAAATGCCATCAGATACAAATATTTGGTGATATCATATTCAGTTTCACGTAATGTAACGGTATGTCACTTGTGTGAAGACCATATATCGATGCCGTTGTGAATGCCTTGTAGCAAAACAGCATTAGGGATGTTTGCTTTTAGTCTCTTATGCCTTTTTCTGTGGAAAATGCTTTCATTTGGGCGAATATAGCGTCTTCTGAATGTTTTTTACCACTTTGTTGCCTTCGACGTCTACTCAAGGACTGTGTCCCGATTTAAATCTGGTTACTTTGTGACTGATCACTCAACCAAAATGAAGTCTTACCTGTGTATGATTGAAAATTCCGTGCTAGTATTCTTCTTCGTCTCCGACTTGTTTTTCTCTCAATAAAATTGTGACTTAAATAAGCTCCGGATTGTGTTCATTTTTTTGAGTTTCCATTCTTTTCTGCTTGATTTTCTCCTAAACTTTTGGGTATGCAGCTGTTAACTGTGAATTTTACTACTTACAAGAATACTTTTGGTTTGTGAAAGCTACATGGCTCGCCACTTTTTCGTGATATACAATTATGGGATAATTGACTCCTCTTTATCTTGGATCGTATTCCATGCTAAATCCCTTACGAATTTGCAGACGCTCGAATGCACCCCCTCTCCGGATTGGCGATCGCAACTGATACTTTCTCTTAATAGTGGCTTTCGTAACCACTTAATACAATGACCCTACTTTCCACTTCACCAGTGATGGTCAAATCTTGTCAAGAGTATGTATGGATGTTTCAGTCAACTGTCGCGGTGCTGATTTAACGAGTATTAATTATGGTACATGATATCCTTATTTGTATGAGATTATACGGGGCTTTAGTACTATGAAAAGCTGGTTTGGCAGTACGAAAAGGGTATAAGGCTACTGAGACTACCAAATGCAGGTGAAGATTTTACATGTATGCTTGTCCGTTTCAGCAGTAGCGATTTATTCTCACGAGCTTAAACGCACAATAAGGGCAGGAACCGGTTCAAGTAGGAAACCGTCTTCATTTAACTTGTCGTGTTGTATTTAGCTAGGTGAGTAACTGATCTCACAGGAATGCTGTTGATGCGGGCATCGGTCAGTTGCTTGAAGCATGAGCAATAAGGGGTACACAGAGTAAACAGCGGACAGCCCTTGATGGAAAGCATTCCACCCGGAGTATGCTCATCCTATCTGCCGTGTACCGCTGACATTGAGTGGAGGGCTATGTGTCTAGGCTCAGGTGATTAATATGCAGGTATGCGGTTAGCTCGTATCTGAGTCACGGTTGATTTTTCTAATCATGCGCGGGTCACCCTTCATGTAAAACATCTTTACTGACATCCATGCCTGTGGATACGTCCAACCGTCCTTTTGTAAATCCAAGCGGTAGATGCAGTGGTATGGTGGACATGACAAGTCAATAATAATTCTTACAAGAGTATTAAACTTGAAAGAAGGTAAAACCAAGCAATGTGTGCAATCATTACTGTTAGTAACTTACATTGTGCCTCTTGCTCGGGAAGCACGTAAAGCGCGAGTCTACTAGGCGCCATAGGTTGTAAAGATTGTGATCACAGAGATATCTCACTTCTTATCTCATTAGTCCCACAGATACTTTCTCCTGCACTTGTCCACGCCTGCTGCTGGTGCACTCGATGGCACAACGTCGTCGTGCTGCCCTGATGACCACTCTACGTAAAGAGGCGACCAGTGTGCACTCCGCGCTGCCGTCTCTTCTCCACACACCTACCTCCACCGAGGCTAACAACCCGGAGCATCCGGACTGGCCGCACCGAGTGCTGGCGCTGCTCTCGGAGGCGCTATGTAACCGATTTGTACCTCTCCCAGCTTCCAACGGGCAGGCGACATTGATCTGCGACCACCAGCAGAGCCAAAAGCAACAGGGCTGTGTCCCAGAGGCGTTAGTGCAACGACTGTGGAAGATAACTTCGTATGTGGAGACGGTTTTGCGTTCATCACCGTAGGTGTCGTCATTTCCATTTCTGATAAAGTGCCTTGAGTTGAAGAGGAAAGTGAACGGTAAATCATTATCATCCTTAGACCACATTTCCAATATCAATTGATTCTTAGCCATTTCTTTAACCAGAAAATACATGTCTAGGGTACAATTGACTAGATTGCAAATGTCCATTATTGCTAATTACCGTTAGAAAAACTCTTTACTGATTACAAATGTATAGTATGTAAAGGCGTAAATGTAATTCCTTAGCCAGCTTGAAACTTTCGTGGACTTTGTTATTTAAATGTACTTTCATGAAGCATTTCTTATTTCCTTTCAGAGCTCAGCAAGAATACGCAAAACTTTCCTCCTATCCATTCCTTCGAATAGTTGAACAGGAGCTAGCTAAAGTCTCGACCAAAGGTGCCAAGTAAGTGGTGGGGATTATCTTCTTGTGATGAGAATCATAGACTACGAGATTTCAATAATTCCCAGATTAACTATGTCCCTTAATTCCAGTGGAGATAAGTACAGTGTGACAGATGATCGTGAAAAGCTTAACTGCAAAAGGAACGCGACCCTCTTTTGGATATGGGCACATTATTTAATGATCGCTGAATTGACTGGATTTGTGGTTTATCGCGACCCTTACCGAACACCAAAGAAAACAGAATCCAAGACCAGTGGGCTTTACTTCTTTAGTTAAAAGTGCAGATGATAGTCAAGCCTCTCTCCCTTCTTTACCTTTATAATTGATCGCGTCACAATGAGTGTTACCATGCTTAAAGTGCATCATCATAAAAATGGACCAATCAGAAAGAAGGTGAGAACGCCAAATCTAGATTCTTCCAATTACGATGAAGTTGGCTCAAACGAGAGAAACCTGAATTTCTAAAAGTGCAAATGCTCCTAACTTTGAAGTGAAAACATTGTGAGTATTCTTAAGGTTTTCTTATGCATTTGCTTCAAAATAGGACGAGAAATTAATGCAAAAGACTTCGATTTAACGCCCCAAGATTTCCCTGGAGTCGCAAGAGAACTTAATTCTAGGGCAGAATATATATTATCAACGTACAGAGGGGATAGAAGGGCAACTGACGTGGCCCAGAGACTATTCCGCCCAGCAGAAGTACGGGGGCGGGGCCCTAAGCGCCCTTAAAACCAGAAAAAGTTAAACAGAGTACTGCACAGCCCTCCTCTCCTTTTGAGTGTCGTCCTCAGCTCACCTCTTTGTCAACTCCCCGCGTTGACCATCACAAAGTAGTCGATGTCGTGAGAAAACCACCCACCAATTAACGGTATCAATCACTAAATCTGCATGCAACTGAGAGGATATCTGACTTCAATGTCACTGATCTTTCGTGGCGATTCTTCTGGATCTGGAGTTTGGAGTTCGGTCCCATTGGGGAAAGGGATTGTGCAGGCCATCAAGTATGTCCACCGCTAGACGTAAGAACACTACCCCAAAAGTAGATCTATTTAATAAAGGACAGAACTTAGCAAAGTGTTGCTGGGATAAGGTTTTGCGTCTATTCCTCTTTGTCACGTTGTTCTCACCTCAGTGGTGTCCAGCCATATCTATCTTGCTTATGACCAGCTATTTGAGAGGTGGAGGAGGTATCGCATCCAGGTACCGTAGACCTCCGTAACGAGCTCTTCTAGATGGTTCACGGCCGTGGCTAGCGTCGCTTCAGTTGTTAATAGCATTCCTGTAGAATACGGGACTGAGGTATTTTCCGAAGAAAAACGTCATTTTCAACCTTCCTGTTGGGGGTCGTCACAGATTCTCCTATTCGCAGCGTGTGCTCTCCTTCGGTCACCACAAGTTTCGGCATTCACGAATAGAAATCGTGGTAGTTATTTACTAGGGCCATGTCTGCCTTTTATTAACACCAATGTGACGTCCTGAGCCATTTCTGAGAACGGAAAGTCATAATGCTAGGACGGAAAATGCATTGCTGACGTAGAGAAGAGCCAACGAGCTAATGGCATGGCCCAAGGGCCATACCGCTCGTCGGAGTTCAGTGGCGGAGTCTTAAGTGCCCGCACAACCGAAATGACGAGTTAAACAATCGAAGTGTTGCAGTTGCTCCAAGTACGACTTAGCTTGATTAGATTTCTTATTTACTTCAATGAAGCATAGCTGTAGCAGTAATTTTGAGCCTTTTTGCAACAGCAGCCTTCTCCAACTGTGTGAAGCTGTCAGTCAAAAGTTTGGCAGAGCTAATATGATATTTCGCGATGCAATTTTGCAACAAAGGCTTCTTGTGATATTTCCCACCACTGTTTCAGATAAAAGTTGACCTCCACAGCCCTTTCATTTTCTGATCGTTTTAATTGTTTTTCAACAACTAAAAAGCGTGACAGGTGGGTTTTTTTATTGTGAACTTACCTTTCATGTTTGAGGCGTATGAACCGGTATAATCAGTTCTCATAAATTTATGAAGAGCCTATGCTTCATATTTGTGACGCCGAATTCAGCTAATAAAACCAAGAATTGCATAGATGTATACATTTGTAATACTTCAGTATGGTTTCAAGCATTATTTAAATCAATGTGTGTATCTTATAATGGTCCCTAACCTTGGTTTACTCGACTACTACTTATTCTGCCTTATCGGTATATTTTGATGCTTTCCGTTGAAAAGGGTCTCAATAGCGTAAATTTGATATGATCGCCTTAATTAGTCGGAATCAAATTCTGTAAGGTTTATAACCCACCCCGCCTAGTCATCACCAACTGACTTAATCCTCGTTTTCCATCCATGTTCAAATTTACCGATTGTATTGCTCGCCTCTAGTCACGATATGACCTCTTTAATTGACAATCGTTCCAATGGACATTTCTATCATTATTTGTTCAGCATTTCTCACATACCATGCTTTTTTAAATCCTTTATTTTATTGGTTTATCCCCCTTTTCTCCACCCACAGTCATACCACTCCCTGGCTGCATATCTATGTTGGACAGCCAGACTCCATCGCCCTTCTTCTCCACGCACTGAATATCACCGTCGGTTCGACTGATCAGCAGCGTGCTGTGGGTCGTCTGGTCATGGAGGTGTTACGCGGTGAGCCACCGCGACTGCGTTTCATCCTCGATGGAGTGGACATTAGTGAGGCTCTGAAGCCTCTTGGACTGTGTCACGGGCAGCCACCTATATGCACCTCGACGAGCTTTCTGGCCTTCCTTAGGGGACCCACATTTTGGGGTTCCTCGATTCGTACTGCCCTCAAATCCTCTGAGGCTGCGTATATTGCACTCTGTGCTTCTCCTGACTTCAGGACAACGATTTGAGCATGGATGTTGTACATATTGATGCTTCTCACTATAGTCGGGAAAAAGATTATTTTCTAAATCGCCAGTTCTCTGTGAGTGCTCATTGGGAAAGTGAGTGATAGTTTCACTTGTGTGCGTTATTTCCAATCATACGGGCAGTTGTGTGGGAAATGCGATGCGAAACTTTTACCACTTTTAAGCTTTTTGATTGAATTGAAGTACTTAACGCCAAATGTCATTTCGACACGAAGTTGACAAGTTGTGATCTATGAAGCAATCTCCTCTGAAGTTGACCTCGTCCTAAACCATGTCTAAAGTGATTTACTAAATGTTTTAGAAGGTTTTTTCTCTTCATTTTACAATTGTGTGTATTTTGCTCAAAAGCAGGAAAAGCGCTTTGTCGGTAGTAAAATTAACTTGGTCAATGTGTCAAAAAATTCAAATTTTGCTTTCTGCTTACTCTTGTAAAAATCGATTATGGCATTAATTTTGCATGGAATAGCTTAAAATGTCCAGCAAATTGACAGGACAGCACGTTAAAGATCGTAACAATTCAGCTGTGGAGGCTTCCTCCCTCCACTTCCTCCGCAAGCTCAAACAGCACCCACAATCGGAAGTTAATGACTCGCGATGCGTTCGAACTTCGTCCCTTGATAGGGACTCCGAGAACCTCTTTAAGGTTGTCTCGATGGCTTTTCAAAAAGCCGCAGTGTTCCCCTTCTCTGAGGCAGAACTATTGGATAGGTGTCTCCTTCTTCGCATCGATGATACTGGGAGAAAATACCTCATTCGTTTGTTAAAAAACATCTTTCTTTATCCCAAGGACAATCCCACTATTTCTCACTTTCATGATGAGTCCGTCTACCAGCCTACCGAACTTCGAAGCAATGATGAGATTCTCCGATCAAGACGGAAAAGGAAGGAGAAGCTGATGCATCGTTCTATCATCCTTGTTGAGCGCACGCTCCGTCGCAACACCCCGGGTCAGGTTCTCAATGCACTCGGAAAGCTCCATCTCTATGCGGATGTAGAGAGGATGGCAGAATCTCAAGACGCCACAGAGTTGAATGAAATTCGTCGCCTCGCAAGGCCGCATGTGCTACAGAGAGGCATCACTTCCTTCGTGTGTATTTTCTGCCGTCTCGAGTGCCCCTCTATTACCACTCTGCAAGCACATCTCATTTCACAGAAGCATCACTTCCTCAGCCTACCTGCAGTGTGGTCAAAAGCTATCGACAAGGTTCGACAATATGAGATCAAAGGAGCGATCACTACAGGTACTTTGAAAGCAGCCCACCCTGGTGGTACTCAATTTGCTCACATCTTAGCCGCTAGTGGGGAGACGAAGAACAAGGCTGGTGACGAGATAAAACAGGAGGAATGGAAGGAGGATGAGCTGTCGACTCTGGGGGATATATCTCGGAACAGCAATAATGAGGCGGGCGATGCTAGTGACGTGACTACCATGAAGCCTGTTATTGCACACTACACGACTTGCCTTTTCTGTGGGAAAAATGTTGATTCAGCGGAAATTTATGAAGGTCATTCATGCACCAATCAGGTAGGCTGAGGGGATTGCTTGTAAATTGTAAGGCAGCATAAATTTAATCCAACATTTTGGTCTAATTTGATTAACGCATTAATGTAATGCGTACATTTCAAAAATCTCTATCAAAATGATGTGCATAATTGGGTAATTTAGATTGCACATTCAGGACTAGTGTTGAAGGTTTACCACCTATAAAGCACTTACTTTCATTAAAGTTTTCAAGCTATGTAAAAGTGAAGTTTTCCTCCATATTTTGCATTTGTAAAATAGAAGCAAATACCTTTCAGGAATTATCTTTTTCTACATCATGTATAGTCCAGAAAAGACTTGTAAAATCAAATTTTGCCTACTATTTGTGAGAGTTATGGCTGTTTTTAGCCTTAGCTTTCAATTTGATGTACCATGAATGTTCACGTATTTGATAAGCAAAACTGTAGCGAAAACTGTGGTGCCCGATATTTCTCCGAAATTATAGCACTAGGGCAGGAAATAATTAGTTGTTTAACCCTTCGTTTTAATTACGCGGGCATTTGAGACTGCCATTGTAATTCTGCTTGGCGGTGTGCCCTCCAGGTCATGCCAGTAGCCTTTCAGCCCTTCTGTCAGCCGGCATTGTAAGGTACTACGTAGCCCCTCTATTCTTTTGCTCGTTGCCCTCGGCTTTCCCTTTGGTTGGCCTCCTGCCTCGGCCCTCACAACGTAGTCGGTGCAGTAGGAAAAACACCCAGCAGCCAACAGTATCATTTGTCAAATTTGTGCCTAATTAAGATCATGTCTGACTGTAGCGTCAGTGATCCTTCTTAGCAACTTCACTGGATCCAGAGTTTCCTCCTGTTAAAAACTGTATTGAGGAAAGTAGAGTGTGTAGGCTATCACGTATGCCCTTGCTAGTCGTAAGAATACTGACCTACAAGCAGAGCCGTTTGGTGAAGGAGGGTGTTTCAAGTTGTTTCTTGGGGTTAAGATTTGGCGCCTATTCTTCTCTGTCGCTTTGTTTTCACGTCAGTGCTGCTCAGCCATGTCTATCTAGGTTCTATCCAGCAAGTGGTGAGGTGGTGGAGGTATTACGTGTTCACTTCATTCACGTCTTCATGCAGGTACCGTAGACGTCTCCGTAATGAGCATTTTCAGACGGTTCACGATTACGGCTAGTGCCAATTTACTTTCAAAAGCATTCCTGATGATCGCCGAACTGATGTGGCTGCTGAAGGTAGATGTCATTCTAACCCCTTTTGTTATAGGCCGTCACAGATTCTCCCATCCGCAGCATTCAGGATTGGAAATCATAGTAATTTCCCATTAGGATCAAATTCCCTTACCGCTGCCACTAATTCGGTTTTCGAGTCTTTTCTGATGTCAAACGAAGTCATACTGCGGAAAAAAAGGTCCAATGAATTACTGGCATGGCCTGGAGGCCATGTCGGCAAGCTGAGGTGAAATCGCGGAACGTTAAGTGCCCGTGTGACCAACACGAAGAGTTAAATAAACAAACAAGATATTACGAAACTAAATTATCAAAAACCACCAATTTAAGAAATGGGAAAGCATGCTATACAAACAACACAGTGTAGCAACCTTAGACTTCCCTCAAGACTGTTAAAGACAATATTTCGGCAGAATATGTGCATGTGTTCGACATAAAGCTGTGCACGGAGCTACTTTCCCACTTGGTTCATGCTTGGTAGCGGACCTTTACGTCTTGACCACACTCGCATGGGTAGATTTGTGGGTCAGCACGAAATTGCTGCCTGAGTTTTCTTCCTTAAAATATTTTAAGTTACAAGAATCATCATTCCTCCTTCACTTTCCATCTGCAGTTGGAGGAGTTTATAGAAGCCGAAATTAATCAGTACAATGCACAAGGCAGCCCACTTGTTTGTCTGCTCTGCGATTGTCGTCATTTCGAGTCTCCGGAGGCGTTGATGGTTCACACCGTGGGAAGACACTGTGCCGGAGCGAAACCTCAAATATGTCCGCTTTGCGAGGCTAGAATGACTCCCTTAGATGTGGAGAGCTTCAATGTGGATCCCTGTGTCCAACTGCTCGTCCTTGATAGACATCTGCGAGAGGCACATCTGCCACATCTGGAGGTGATTGGCCGGCTTTTTCAGTCATTTGATGAGACGGTTGTCGCCAAAAGTATGCTCAAGATCCCGCCTATGACAGAAACTGTCACGAGGTCATATAGGTGTGTCCGAACCTCAAGTCTTAAGCCTCCAAGCAAAATTTTCCTGCTTTTTTATACATTGACAATTGGACTCCGTTTTTTAAATAATATATGCTATTTAGTCAAGGAGCAGAAGCCAGACTCTTAAGCAATATTTCATGGGCTTGTGTACCACCAGGTGTTGCTTTAAAGCCGGTGAAAGCGCGGGCAGTGGACCCGCCTTCCCTTTTGAGCACTGGCGCCATCGTCCCAAACGCAGTTTCGTTGAAGATCGTGATGACGCCACCACATTTGCCATCAGTCACACGCGAGGACTTGCTCAGCGTCCTCAGCGTGCCAGCGCACGCCGTCGGTGCCTCTTCAACCCACAGAAACTCTATGACATGCTTCGCGATATCTGGCTGCGAAAAAAGGACCGCGCTCACAACACCCTCTTCTCCCTTCTCTTCCGTCCCTACTCTCCCAATACTATGTGGTGCGGCTTCACCGCCTCTAGTATGGCTCAACTCATAGCTCATGTGGTTGGTCATCACGGTGGGAACTACCTTCTGCAGCCACAACTGCGAGAGAACATTAGGCAGGCATTTTCATATCGCAAAGAGCGCAGAAGGCCCTCGTTGGAGGAGTGGAGTTCCTCGCTGCTTAATAGTGGAAGAAAGAGGAGCAGAAGCATCGAGGCGCTAAGGAGTGCTGTGAGGTTGGTAAAGGAGAGGAGCAGTTTAGAGGAGAAGCGGTTGTTGATGACACCGATTGAAAAAATGCTGGACGCCCCAACACTGATTGGTGAGGATCCTGGTGAAAAGCTCTTCAATTTGAACACGGAGGTGGATCAGCAAAAGGTGAATTTTGTGTCCTCGCAAAGTCTGCCTGTGATATAGAGAATTGCTGGCAGAATTGGCACAATTTCTAAGATCATTTTTCCTCATGGTTTAACGGAGGGAAAGTAGCTGATGAACCGTTAGTATTATGCTACATCAATTTTGCACTTGCGTGGTCACTCTTTCAATGAGCCTTCTTCCTAAGAAGCTTTCATCGTGCTTTTGGAATCAAATTTTATACGCAGCACTGGATATTAGATAAAGTATGAAGTATGTGATTTTTTTAATCAGTGTGTCAACTGATGAAACGTTGGGTTCTGTCATTCAGGGTGCTGACTGTTCCATAGAGAGATTGATCTTCATCATTCCAGCTACTTTTATTTGACCCTACTCGAACTTTTACTGCTGCTGTTGAAGCAGGAATTCTAGTTGTTTCATTTAAATTGATATCTTGAGTTGCTGTGCCGTCGTAAAGCCTATAATAGCGACTGGTCGAAGACTTTCTACGAAGACGGAACTCCTTTCCAAAGATAATAATTGTTAAAGGTAAATCGCTTTAATCTTGCTGGGAGGATGCATTGGTATGATGAAATGTGCTCCAGTGTTCTCAGTTTACGTGTTGCATGGGTTATATAACATTTAGTAGAGAAATTTTTATATTTTTAATCGACTTATTTTAAAACAAATGCCATTCTTTTAACTTGCGCTCTTTTATCAGTTGTTTAAGCACACGCTACTGAAATGTAAGTTGATGTGACTCAGAACGTCGGAAGTTTTCAACCACTTCTCCCACTTCTATCATAAAAATGCGGCTATTAATGCCCTTATCTTAGCCCTATGCCGAGTACACATCCCGGTGAAGATTGACTGAACAGATACAATGGAAATTGTGACTTACACGCCTGATCACAATAAGTTAGCAACTCTTACAAATCCAAAAGTCGTAACTCACGTGTTTGGCAGAAATAGCCACCTTGCAGCCTTAGACACGCCTAATTGGCATTAGCTACTGTTTCGCTATTTTCAAGATGGAAAATTGTTTTGGAAAACCTTTTGAACACCCTCTTTAACTTGGGAATGCGAATTCCAAAAAACTCTGTCTGCATCCTTACTTTTTTTAATAATACAATTAGTTTAGCTTTAAAGCTTACCCAGTTTTTTATTTTTACTGCATGATTTGGAATGGGAAGAATGCAGTTGCCTAGACAATTCTTTCAAGAAAAAACTCCTACTTACATTTTGGTCACCAAATTTACCAAATTAGGCGTTTCGAATAGAATTGGTAACCATTTTTCGGCAAATCTAAATGCACTCAGTAATATTAGTAGAGAGATCGCTTTTCTTTTTTGCACTCAGCATTCAAGTTCCATTTTGAATAATCGACTGCCAAAGTTTCGTATTTTACTAATTCTTATGAGTAGCGTGAATTATGATTTGCTTATTGTAGTGTGCAATTCCTTCTAATAATTCTGCTCTAATAAGTGACACACAACCAGAAATCCAAAATCAGCATGATTTATACTTAAATATTTAACGATATTCGCATCATTATTTGCAAATGGCTTAATCAAGCCGATGAACGGGGGCCCCGACCCCAACCACTCTTGGTCGGCCTTTCCCCTCAGCTAACACAAAGTAATTGGTGCTATGGAAATAACATCCAGGGGTCACCTGCGTCAATCGTCCAATTTGCATGTAGCTGGTTTGATATTTCACCGCAATATCACTGATAGGGAGTTTTGTCCTGTCCGGTAACTGTATTGGGGAGAGGGAATGTGCGGGCCATTACGTAATCCCGTCGCTATTAGTAAGAACTCTGGTCGAAATCAGTCATTTAATAAAGAACGGAAAGTAAAGTGCTTTTTTGCAGATACAGTTTAGCATTTGTTCATTCGTGTCAATTTTTTCCTACGTCAGTGTTGCCCAGCCAAATCTGGGACCTATCAACCCAGTAAATGTGACGAAGGCATTGTGTGTTTACGTAATTGACATCTTCATGCAAGTAATGTAGACAGCTTCGTAACAAACCTTTTCTTGTAGTCCACGGCCTGTGTTGCTCCACTTGTAAGTGGCAATCCTGCAAAATGCGGTACTGAGGTAGTTGCCGATGGTGGAAGTCAAATTTCAACCCTTTCTTTAGAAGTCGTCATAGATTCGCACATACGCAGTATATAATCTTCTTCCGTTATGCTTTGCATTTAGTAACAGAAACGGTGGTATTTATACTTTAGGACCGGGCTCGCTTTCCACTGCCGTCAATATAGCACCCCAAGACTTGCCTGAAGATGAAGGAAGGTATAGTAATAGGGCAGAATATGCATTCCCGACATAGAGATGGGGTAGGGCTACTGACATGGCACAGTGATCATATCGTCCAATGGAAGCACAGTCGCGGGGCCTCAAGCGCTGTTGGTTCCAAAACGATGTGTTAAACAAGTTTATTACTACAGCCATGTGCTATAAGCCTTGCTGTACTATTTTTTGGGCAAAAATTTAACGGCAACCTTACAAAAAGAGGAAGAAACCTTATATCCTCCCTTTTTAGTCAACGTCACATAAAATCTTGCTGGAGAAAATGAAACTTACCTTCGAGGCGCTGGATCCACTTGAGTTGTGCTGTCGCGTCAACAAACAATGCCCTGACGCAGATGACGACAACCATGGTAACAAATACTTGGGAGAGAAAGGTGAAGGCTCGGAGAAGTCAAAGGAACATTCGCTATCAATTTCAACTATTCTTAATTCGCAACATGGCGCACCCCTGAACAGTCGGGCGCTATACGATACTACGGAATCATTTTCGCAAAGAGGAAGTCTTGGTCGCAGGGTAAGATGCTGTTGAAGCTAATAGTATGCTTTTTTTAAGTGCAGTATTTTTGTGCTATAGCATTTCAAAACCGCAAAATTGCTTTAAATTGGTAACAAAATAAAGAATTACCTTATTTTTGAGCAGTTGACATAGGCAATGGGTTAGCTACCGATACCACTTTCCTGTCCAACAAAAATAGTATAATAACATGGAATTATTTGGAGCCTTGCACTTTTCAAGGCCATGTTAAGGCATACCAGATGTCTGGGCAGCTTGAGACGTGGTCGAGAAGCCATGTCACCAAGTCAGCAGGAAAGAGTTTGTCTATTTCTCCTGTATTAACATCAAGAAAATATTTCTTCACGGTAATTTAAAACCGATTGGAAGTACAAATGGATTAGTGATGTAGAAGTGTAAGTTATCAGCAATGAATTCCACACTCGGCTATTCCACGAGATACCTTCCTTGTAAATAATCATCATTCTGTCTCCGTCCATGTCCTTCAGTTGCAAGCTACGCCGGTTCCACTCCCTCGCAAACTCCTCCTCCACTCAATGCGAAGCCAACAGAGAGCCACCAAAGCCGAATCGCGCAGATGGTCTAGGAGTTTTAGCCGATATTTGAAGGACACCTTTCAGCGTGATACCAAAGAAGTAATCTTCTGTCATCTCTGCCTTGAGGGCCCAATGGAATCTGATTTAATGTTAAATGAACACATCAGGGAGCTCCACATGAGCGCCTACGCTGATCGTCTCCATCGTGTCAAAAAGCGAGGATCCTTCGCGTTAGCTGTGGACCCGATGCGAACCTGCTTCCAGTGCTATCGGGTTGTGGAGTCTTTCATTGCGCTTCAGGTGTGTTTTTATTAAAACCTCTATTTAAATGCACATCTACCAAATGTTGATCGCATTCGGTCCCTGAGCCCCTAAAAACAGCTTTGCTATGAGTGCATTATAGGCAGGAGCAGTTACGCTGTGCTACTCTGTTGGGAATGGAATCGTGGGATCGTGGAAAGGCTAGCGTAGCCTCATTTTGCACAACTCTCACAAAGAGAATGACGATTTTAAGGCTGTACGCTGCATCTGTTTATGCTGAACAAAGTTGTAATTTTATGCAATTATACTCCTGAAACTTGACCAAAGTGACTTTATTAAGGCCTCCATTGGCTTTGATGAGGTCGATTCAACTACTGCATGCATCACTACCCATATTTGTAATAACACTGTCAAAATTAATCTACTCAGCACAACCGAAAGTAACAAGACTTTTTCCCTTCTTCATAAGGTGCACATCGTCTGCGCCCATGGTTCGCTATATCCACTGGTCTGCGGTCTTTGCCACAGTCCCTTCACCCTTCAGGGACTAGGGGATCCCCGCTGTAGAGCGGGGGCACTGGAAATAATGCGTGAAGCCACAGAAAAGGTGGATCCAGAAATCCGCGACTGCCTCGTCGCCAACAGTTACCTTACTGACATCGATATCTGCAGTAGTTTGCCAGAAGTCCACGCAGATACCAAGGTCTCCACATTCTTCCAAAGTGTCCATGCTGGACTGACACGCGCCATTGCAATCGAGGAGATGAGAGAGGTGCGCTCTGCAGTTCTAGCGGGCCATGCGGCTATGCAAATTCCGGCAGCATTCCTCCTCGAAGCCATGCAGGCTCATGAACGTCTACATGTTCAGCAGATTCGACAAGAGCATTTTAAAATGCCGGCCTTCTCTGGAGTGCCAGAGTGTGGCGTCAAGAAGCAGAAGATCTCTGCGATGCTCCATGACTTCTCCAAGAAGTATGGAGAAATTGTGAATGAGAGGATACATAATGAATGCGTGATGTTGAATAAGCTTCTGCACGCGGAAATTGATAGGCCACTTGCGGTGAGAAGTTGGACTGCGTTCTCTTTCTGTTCCTTGACTCCAAGCTTGCGTATTCACTAAATTTAGTAATTAGGGATTATCCATATAACAGGAAATACGTAGACTCCCTCTTTATTCCTATATTTTAAATCCATGCCTCTGAGACTCTTGACACACTAACATCCTATTGAAATGTGTCACTTAGGCTTCTTTAATGATTTGTGAATTATTAAGGATACACATTAGGGAAAATCATAACAGTAGGTCTTTGAATAATAAATGGATTAAATTATTTTTTGGAAAATATATCGTAGGACCATCCGAACAGCCACTGGGGCGTACAACATGGCTCAAAATTGCACCCAATCGAGAAGACTCCGCAGGCCAGCGTTTTGACGCCGGAGCTGTTGGCCTATTTTAAAGAACTCTCAGCAAAGACTGCCATCGAAGAAGACGATTAGCTTTTCTAATTCCGATTTTCTAACAAATCCTGATTGATTATTTATGAACATTAACTACTGCATTCTTAATAAATAAATCTAAATTGGCAAAGATGCATTGTAAACTGGAAAGAAATACCACTCGGCCGTTTGCTGCTGTTAATTCGGGAGTTTTCTGAAATAACCGGGTAATTAATGGTGATTGAGCAGTCCTCCCAACAAATTGGCGAAAAGTTACGCCTTTTGTAAACTTAATTTCGCATCACAGCCAAATGCTAATACGTCAACCTGTATTGCAACGTCCTCAGGTAGTGTTTTCTAACATGTCGAAGTTTGAGGAAATTGGTAAGTTGAGCACTCCATCTTGCAGTTTGTAATACGAAAATCACTCCCCTTAAAGAATAATAGTAAATGTAGCCAAGTTCCAAGACTAGATTTTAGAAATGGGTGCAGTAGCATTATGACAATTAAATACATTCATGCCTGAATCTCAGACGAGATCAAATACTGACTCACACAGTGTAGAGGATTCTTTTCCAGGCTCGAAACGGTCAAGGAATTTCTTTACAAAATTTCCACATCCTTTCTGCTAGTAAATAAATTTGTGTTTCAGCAGGTTTGTAAAAGTTGTAAATGCTATTTAACTTTACATGCTCATTGCAGCGTCCCGACACTTCCTTGAAGACGAAAGAAGACAACGCTCAGTCATAATATATATGATCATATATTCGAAAGCCAGGAGGTTATATGGCCATTAGCATAGCCCAGAGTCCAGTCCATTCTATGTGGCACAATGGCCAAGACAAAGTGGCCCTTTATACTAAAACAAACCGATAAATAAAACCTCGTATTCCGCTCATCATCCTCCACAGTTGATGCTTTCGGTTAATGGCATTGCCTTTAGATGAAGCTTATGGGCTTTCAGGTTTACTTAATGTCAGTGACAAACTTTTTCTAGTATTATGTAACACATTGGGTGCTTAGCTCCCGGTTTTTGTGAAAAGCCCCTTTTGACTTGGTCATTGCACCACTTCGGATGGGCTAGGCTTAGGGCCATGCCAGTAGCCCAAATACCTTCTGTATGTTAAATATAGATATTCTGCCTGAGTATCATGTCTTCCTTCGTCTTCAGGGAGGTCTCGAGGCGCCACACTGGTGGCAGCGGAAAGCGAACCCTATCCCAAAGGACATCTATCCTGATTTCTACTGCTGAATGGCAACTTTTAGTGGGATGTAAGAAGTACACGTGCTACGGATGGGCGGATTGGTGATGATTCCAAACAAAAGGGCTAAAATTGACGTTTACCCTCGGCAACTACCCCATTCCCGTGTTCTACATGAATGCTCTTAATAACTAAAACACTGCTTTTCATCAGCTATTTGGAATACTTTTATTGCAGAGTTTGCCTACCGTACCTGCATAAATTTGTCGATAAACTGATCTTGCGATACCTCTTTCACTTCTCTGCTAGATGGAGCGGGCCTGGGTGGATGACTGGGCAAGGAGGAACAGATGCAAAACATTTCACCCACGAATCTGTGTTAAATTCCGTCCTTCCATGCAGAAGTCTGCTTTTAGGCCAGTGGAGAGGAGCTATGTAATACGTTGGTTGTATAACTCTCGCTTTGATGAGGAGGCACTTTTGATATGGTCATTGCACCATATCGGGTGGGCTGGCCTTCGATCCATGTCCGTAGCCCATTAATGTTCTATACGTCAATATGTATATCTCACCCAATTATTATATCTTTTTTGGTCCTCAAGGAAGGCTCAAGGTGCTATAGTTAATAAGTCCAACTTCAGCTTTAGGGGGGAACTTGAGAAGCTGTAAAACAAAAGTGTTTCAAAGTTTTTGGGAGAGGGCTCGTCAGAAAAGCTATTCAATTCAGAACTGGCGTACCTGATTCTACTGTGATATGGAAAGTTGCAGGCAAGAAGTAAAAGCTTAAAAAAATTGCTTTCTATAATACAAAAAATATGCTTAAACCCGATTTCTCAAAATGTCGAAGGGTGCTTTTAATAATAAAAGTGTGATTAAAAGTTGGATTGGAAAATTTTTACAAAAACTTATCTACCTTATTTTAGGCAGAAAGCGTTAAAAGATGTTTTATTTAAATATTGGGTATTAAAGGTGGCATGTGTTCGTTCGCACGGTGTGGTAAGAAAATATAATTTGTAGGTCATTTAAAGACCAATCATAACCAAATATCCCATCGGCTGTAAGGCGCGCCATTCGTATAGGAATTGTGGCCTGCGCGTTTTCACGAATTTTATAATAGCACAGTCATTTGTATTGCAAATGCACGAAGCATCCGCCGGATTACCTATCACCATCAACGTATCTACCATTGGATATTGTAGTCCAAAATATTCGCCTCAGTATCGTGTTGGAAAGTCATGTTTAATTAATCGATTTATGAGCCGTTCTCAATACACAGAGGATCATCTCTCTGTTATAAGCAATTCAGACTATTATGGGAGCATCATAGCTGGGGATCAATGGATTTATTGGGGTTCCAGGATAATACAACATGAATCAAAAAGGTATCGCCTGAGAATAATCGAGCAATGCGATTTTATTGATGACCACTTATTTACTCCATTCGGAACTGAACCCTATATAGATAGGTGTTTCTCAAACATGATTCACGTCGAGTCACCAAAAACAGCCTATATTTGCAAAGATCAAGTTGGGAACGAGTGGAATTATTCGCGAGAAATCCTTGAACCGTGTGATTTTGTCGTCGATGCTTTTATTATTGTGCTGGATATTACTCTCACAGGTGAAGCTGCACTTTCCCAACAAAGCTTTTTAAAAAGAGCTATAATGGAGATGCGGAAACGAAAAATTCCATTTGTATTTGCATCATCCAAACATGATTGTGCTGCCTCTCCCGAGAATAAGGCGTTTATTAAATGTCTGCTGCACAAGGGATCAAAGGTACTAAAGAAGATTCGCTACTGTAGGGTAGAAACATCGGCCAAGCTTGATGTCAACGTCCAGCAAGCATTTTTATCTGCTGCTCTCTTGTGCTCCTCATCATCAAGCGAAATAAATTGCAAATACTTCCCTTACTCACCACCACCTGGTATCTGCACTCAATCCTTTATGAACTCTGGTGCTCACTTTCAGTAAGACATTTTATCATCATAATTGGGACTTGAGTAAGCAATTTTTGTCAAATATTTTTTTTTGGCCTAGCCATTCCAAGCGTACTGGCACCCTGGTTTCTATTTACGCGGACGCCAACTCCAGTCCACCCGATCGGAACAGTTTCCGACCAATTCCGCGTCTTGTCAATCGATTTAGTTTAACGGAGAATATGACCTATGCCCTACCCATAGAAGGAAAGAATCTACCTTCAAACTTAACATGTTGCCAAATACCCATCGCCATTTCCTCGGACTCCTCTGTAAGTTTATCCTTGACACAACCTTTTTCTAACAAAATCGTGTAATTAGTATCACGGAAATTTCTCATTCTAGAGGCAAACCTCTCTACGCCAAAAAAACCCGCGTCTTCTAGAAACTCTGCCATCAAATGGCGCTTGCACCTCACACATATGCTGTCGAACAATCAATTCTAACACAAAGTTGCCGCTGCTGCAACTGCCAACGCCATCACAATCTCGAATGACACATATCGTCCACCAGCCGCACACCTCAGCCATTCCACTGGCTCCTACTACAACTGTAGAGGCATTTGAATCACTTCGAGGGAACACACAGCCCGAGAGTTCTTCAACTTTACCCTCAAAGCCTCTTCTAATGCTTTTTCTCAGTGGACCTGGAGCTACAAAATTGAAGGAAGTTTTGCAGAGACAATGCTACCGCGATAGATTCCATTTGGCGGTGAGTCTTCCCCTTTACATTGAGGTGTCAGCGTGCATAATTTGAATAGAAAAAGATCACGGGTTTTATAATGCATTACCTTGCATTTACCTTAGTGAGAAACCTAAGCCAGGCTAGGAAGGGTTCTTTTCGGAATGGATAAACACCTCTCTATACTTGGCATAGTCCTACTGACCCACTGAGTAACTTTTTTGCCTGTCCATTTGTCAGCATACAAGTTCGCTTTTTCTTTTCAAATAACTTGAGCTATGGCTCAGCAGTGCCCGACATGACGGCAGTAAAACGAGCAGTCGTATGCATTTGTGTGTGTGTATGTGTGTATCTGTATGGGGTAGAGCTGGAGTGTGAGAGAGCGAGGGGGCAGATAAAGGGCATGTCGCATGCCGAAATCACATTTGGCAAGCTAGAGCATGCCAAATGTATGACGCGGGAGTGAGTTGACCTTAGACGCTTTTGTTAGCTCCAATCCGTGTACAGTTTAGCATATTCTTTCAGTCAAGATTCCTTGCGCAACCTGTACTCCCACATTGCTTCCGTAGCGCGATACACCTGTTGATTTGTTATTTAGACTTCACTTATAAATCTGAAGCATATTTTCCAGCTATTGTTTTTTATTACTTAATTTGTGACCCCATCAAAGCGCCCAGAAAAAAGTAATTACAAACCCACTAAAATACCTATTGTTATGTGATTTGCTGACAGAAAACTTCCAGTCTCTGTGAAAAGCGGAAATATAAATATGTGCGTCACATTTTGGTAATTGAATGTCATACACTACACGTTCACACCTCCGAACATTTCCAAAAACCGCTGTTTTCGGTAAAAAAATTGTCCAAAAAATGTTGGAAACCGCGCTTTTAAATAGTTCATAAAGCTCTTTTGAGAATCACTTTATCTTCACACGTCTAGAATGTGTCGGAGTAAAAAGACAATCCCATGAGTTGTTTTGTTTTATCGGCGATAAAGGGATTATGAGTGGAAATATGGCCATTTGTGGTAATAGGAAACTATGTTCTTGGTAATATAAAAGGAATACAGGTTATTAAGACATACCAAGTTGCTCATAGCATGAAAAATAGTCTGATTAGCAAGGACAGCGAAATTCCTTTCTTTTCAGGGATGCCTTATGCAACCATTTCACAAGTTCTATTTATGTACTCTTTCTCCTCTAGAATGGACGGTGCTTTCGGGTATGGATTTTTGACGCGGTAGATCCCCACACAGTTCAGATAAGCCCCTCCAAATGGCAGCCACATCACGCCCTCCATCCCTCACCTTCTGCGCCTTCAGCATTCACCAATCTAACGCAGAATAACTTTTCGAACGTTATCAACAATTCTGGTGACAGTAATCCCTCCTCTGAGTCCACCGCTGACGGGGGAAGTCGACAACGTCAACTCAAATTGAGTCTTTGGGCCATGGATATGGCGAACGTGGAGGTCTCACGGTCTGAGAAATGCCCTCCAAAGAACGTCGATGCCGTAATTTTTCGAGCAGCTGCCGACGATCCACCCGTGGATGAGTACTACGATGAAGTAGGAGGCGATTTCAAGGTGGAATTAAGCCGAGCCTTCGATTTAGCCAGACTGTGAGTATGCTACATTGCTTAGCCCATGCAACAGCGAATGTTCGACGATGCAAGATTTTTTTCCGTTTTTTTGAATACTCTTTGGCATGAGGCTGTGCCAATCACAAAAACGTACTCACGAACGCATAAATAGAGTCCTCTTCCAGTTTCATTGTCGTCAGGCCTTTTTGGGAAATTTCCTTCTTCGCATTCTTACTTCCTCCTCCTTTCATCGGTTTTTGGATCATTCAGCTTCTGGGGGAAGTATGAATCCCTAACTCAAGTAAATAGGTCAAATTTCCCCATTCCATGGTATCATCAATCAATACAAGTATAATTTTGTTTTTCCTTTAGGTGTTTTACTAGAATTAAAACACTTCTCTAGTCAAATTCCACACATTATGAACCATAATTTGTGTGTTTTACCAGTAATTTTTGATGTTAGTCACATGAGTTAGTTGTAAATTGGAGATACTACAAAGCCACGCAATTTGTGCCCTGGCTAGGTACATGGTTCGACGTTCACACTTCGTGCTACAGTGATGAAATCATCATTATTTTTTGACATTGGGTCAGGGTGAGTTTCTGTCATCACTCAAGTTAGTTTACCACCGCAAATAAACAATGTCACCTGCTCTATACCTTCTTGTAAAAGCCTACAGTAAATGAACATCTCCTTTTTTGATTCTGGCTTCGATAATTGCACACTATCAGTAGTAAAATTCCCTTTAAATGGTGAGGTTTAGGTCCGTCAAGTTAACGCTATGCGCAAAATCTTTTACAAAGCATACAGATAGAGGTACATGCATGGTTTGTGGATATCTTTCACCATTTATGGATTGTTTTTCAACTCCATGTGGGACGTCGGAAATAATTTTGAACAAGGTATTCTGCAGTCTCAACAGTATATCAGATTGATTCTCTGCAAATAGGTGTGGTTAGCTTCTGATTTTCTAAACGTCTCTACCTTACAGTTTGTCTCCAAAGTTATGCATTACCTTAACAATTTGAACCATGGCGGTACTAAAAAGAAGTTAGTTTCAATGTTTCTTAAAATGAATCTCCCTGCTTTTTCTCAACCCCTGAATACGGTAGGTGATTATACTTTAGCTTCCGAGTCTTTCCTGAAGACGAAAGTAGTTGTTAATGCTAGTGCAGTAAATGTAGTGACGACATACAGAAGGAATGGGGCAAATGCAATCGCGAAGCTTAAAGTGCCCTAGAAGAGTTAAACAAAGGATCAAAATATTACATAGCCCCCCTTCTGCTTTGAGGGTCGGCTATCACAAGGTAGTCGGCGCTGTAGGAAAACACCCACCATTCACCCGTGCCTCTGCCACTTCTTTTCCAATTGAGTTCGCTTTTGAAAATGCCTCAAATGAATGATAAGTCATCAACATCTTCCGGAAAGTGATTTGATTAGGATTTGACACTACGAAGTAGCATTATCTT